CTTAGATTTGCTGATGATATAGCAGTATTAGCATCTAGCAAGGAGGACCTAGAGATAGCTTTAAATAAAATGGAAGCGATACTGACAGATCAGTAGGTACTGTATGAAAATAAATAAAAGTAAAACTAAAATACTGATATGCAAGGGAAGAAAAAGTAGGGAAAGAGCGAATATAAAGATAGGAGACGAAAAATTAGAAGAAGTGGCTGATTTTAGGTATCTAGGAAGTCAGATAAGTCAGGACGGAAGGAGTAGTAGGGATATAAAGCAGAGGATAGCGCAGGGTCGAGTCGCCTTCAATAAAAAGAAGTCACTTTTCTGCTCGCGAACGGTTAATTTAGTAACTCGATAAAGGCTGTTAAAGGTGAATGTTTGGAGCACGGCGCTGTACGGGTGCGAAACATGGACAGTGGGCGCGGCGGAAAAGAAAAGGTTAGAAGCGTTTGAAATGTGGTGTTACAAGCGAATGATGGGGATACCGCTGATAGAGAAGGTTAGAAATGAAGAGGTATTAGAAAGATTAGGAGAACAGAAAACTCTATGGTCAATAAGTCATAAAGAAATAAGTGAGATAGGTTGATATGACGCCTTCTCAGGCATAAAGGTCTAGTCAGAGACATATTAGAGGCAGAAACGGAAGTTAGGAGGGGCAGAAGTAGACCTAGATTAGATTACTGTTCGCAAATAGTTAAGGATATTGGTTGTTCTAGTTTTAGGGAAATGCGAAGATTAACTCAAGTGCGTGTCCAACCAGTCTTAGGACTGACGACCTTATGATGATGACGAGGAAAAGTATGATAAGAAAATGTAGAAACAGGTGGAGGTTACCATATCGGACGATTCATATTAAAGAAACTTTCATCACTTTAACCAGTGTGTAAAAAATGTGCAATAGATTAGGTTCTGAGGTTAGGATACATTAGTAGTTTTATGATTTAAATAGTTACTAAAAAATCCAACCTTGTGTATTGAGCTAATGGGGTTAAATAGCAGTGTTAGTAATGCAAAGAGGAAGAGAGGAATTAGGGCCGGTTCGTTTCATATTATAGACTCATTTCGCCCCTAAGGAAGACCTACCCTTATGCAAATAATGCGATATTCTATTTTTTTTGGCAATTCGGAAATTGTCTGAGGTTAGAAAAGAGTACAGGTTGTTCGGACTGACAGGATATGAATGATACTATACTATTGTTTTTATTACCAAGTCATAATTTCCCAAAATTGAAAAAATCTGGAATTATGCAGAATTTCCTCACAAATTTAGGAAAAATATTAGTACCTATTACCCTGATCAGATATTTCTTTATTTATTTAACGAAAATTGTCTCTTTTAACTTCTACTAATTTAATCTATATTTGAACGAATTATATATAACCCCAAGAAACATCCTAAGGTCAGTCTTTTTCTCATTGTTAGTTTCAAGACATAAATCAGTGATAGTCTTGTGTGTTTCTCGTTCATAAAATGTTTAGGTTTAGGTGGTTAATTGTTTATTTGTTAATGGTCAATTAAATTAATTAGCAGATAATTATATAATTAGTTCTTCCAATGAACATCGTACAAGAAAAATCTGGAATTTTAAAAAAATGGGAACGCAGCAACTACAGTAATAATTAAATTAAAAAGCATTTGTTATTATCATTTTAATTGTACATTGCGTACTTAATTATTGTTATTTTTGAAACTCTAAGAAACAAGTCGTTATTTTCTAAGCAAATTGTTTCTTTTTAGCGAAATGATTACTAAGAATTTCTTTACGATAGAACATGCACTCAAAATATTTGCTGTTTCTTTCCCTAGTTCTACATATGAACAAAGAGTCAAGGCCAATGTGAACCGTCACCAACGTTTCGCCTCTTGTTGGAAGGTTTTATCAGGGTAGGCTCTCTTACTTAAAACCTTCATAAAGTCTCCTAGCAAGAGGAAAAAAGGTTGGTGTCGATTCTATAATCAAATAAATACATTACTACCCTTATTGGCGTTGACTCTTTTTTCACATACACTTAAAATTGATTGAAAAATTAAAAGGATCAATAGGTATCCTTTTGGAGCTTAGCACTGACCTAAAAAGGTTTTTATTATCTTAACTCCGTTCCTTATGTGAGATCGGACCATGTAAAAATTGTTATTTTGACAATCCTAATATTAATCTACTTTGATTAGGTCCATTCGAAAAACCTAAAATTTGGTATCTACCAGGACTTTGGCAACTACACCTGCGCAGGATACCCAGGCATCTTAGGGTATCTACAGGTGGATGCAGATACCTTTGCATCATGGGACGTGGATTACGTCAAGCTGGACGGTTGCTATGCCCACCCAACGGAAATGGACCGGGGCTACCCTGAATTCGGGTACTACCTCAACATTACTGGCCGTCCCATGGTCTATTCCTGCAGTTGGCCGGTTTACCAAATATATGCAGGGATGTCGCCCAACTTCAGCTCCATAATTCAACATTGCAATCTCTGGAGGAATTTCGACGACATACAGGATTCGTGGGAAAGTGTGCAAAGCATCATTGATTATTATGGAAATAATCAAGACATCATTACGCCCAACGCTGGCCCGGGACATTGGAATGACCCAGACATGGTAAGTGACATATGAGACTATTATGTAGTGGGTAGTACAGTTAACGTTTAACATTCAACAACCTAAACAACTTTTGACCTGCTTTATTTGATTTATTCGAGTTGTTAGACAGAACAGAAAAGGATACTTGGTGTAACTGTTTTTTTTTGCCGCGCCTGCCATAAAAATATCAGGTAGTAAGCCCGAAAAATGGTAAATAAAAAGTGAACTTTTACTTTATAACTACCTAAATGTAATGTTAATTTCAATTTCTTTAAGTATACACGTACATTTAATATTGTTAACATTTGCTTCAGTACACTAGTAATGAAATTACAATAAAAATTAAAGTTTATCTACTTTATCGTAAACCTTTAATTATTGTTATTACTTATTCATTCATTCATTCACTACACAATGATTTCGGTTTTTTAAACTAACTGACAAATTATCTCCAAATTTTTAAATTAATTTGTGAAAGTTTAACGTAGTACACAAATACATTAATCTATCCATATATGTACAGAGATACTCATATGCCTGTGCATAATATAAGCACAAATATCTGTTTTGAATAAAATTTGTGAAACTTTAATAAATATAGTAAAAATACTATAAGTAGTAATAAAACTTCAGTGATTAATTTGTAATTGAAGAGCTTAGTGCAAAATTAAGCTAGTTTCATTTTTTTGTTTTTAAATTTTACATTATCATCAAAAACAGTTTTATTATTAACATGATAGAAAAACCTTAGAAACATAGTTGGAATAGAGAGATATTAGGATATTACTGTCTTAACGATAGCAACAAAACAAAATAAAAAAAGTTTGGTTTTTGAAACAAACAAAGGAATGAATTTTATTATTTTCCTGGTATTCTCAGTTTTCACTGGTTAACTTTGAGCAAGTGAAGACAGACTAATAAGATCACTCACATCTTTTGGGATATGATACGGAAACCAATTTTCTGTTCTTTAATTTTTTTGAGCTAAGAGTACTAAGAGCTTACCCTGAAATATGATCGGTGATTATTAAAAACTCCGCTTCTATTTATTTTTATCTTTATTTCATCAGCCAAAGGAATATATTTTTGAATTTTCTCAATACGTTTTTGTTTAAGATTTTCAGTGTTTAGTACAGCAACATCTATCAGGTAGGTTGTCAGGTCTATTATGATTAACTATACTCTATACCAATAAAGCTTGGATAAGTGGTTTTCTAATACATTTTGTTGTTTGTAATACTAATGATCTACATTGAATTGAAAAAATCCTTGGTATTTACTTGCATTGATTGAAATTCGAGCCTTGAATAAAATTTTAATTGAATTGACAGAGTTAAATTAGAATACGTAATTGATTGGTGAAGTTGAATTGGAGTACTCTGACTTAACTTTTTTGTCTAGGACTTAAGTCTTAAATAGTCTGTACAAAAATAGGAAACGCCCCTAAAGTAAAACGGACCCCTTGGTCAATGCTTTGGTTATTGCTATGCACCCTTCACGATAAAAATATATAAATATACAAATAACGAAGCACATCGACACCGAACACAATCTGAGCCTCAATGATAGAAAATTTATCTGTTTTGGTTAAAAAAGTATTTCTTTTCGAAAATTGTCTCTTTTAACTTCTACTAATTTAATCTATATTTGAACGAATTCCAAGGAAGTTAATTATTATTGCGATGTTTTATTTTTGTAATTCAATCCTTAATAATAAATAATTCTTAACTTTTATAAAGAAATTTGAATTAAATTAATCAAATCGCGTGTTTTTTTCTTCAAGCTAAAGCACTCATAGCCTATATTTCAGTTGAGTTCTAGCTGTTTATTTCAAGTTATAACGATTTGATTTTTAATTATTATCATCAATTATTAATAAATGGAAATTTCCTCAAAAATTAAATAATATACTATTTTAATTTATTTTGAAAACATCGTGCACATATTTGTGTTTATTTTATATCATTATTTGTTCAAGAATTTTAACCTTCAATTTCCAAAGCTTCTCGTTGGCAGTTAGAGACATTGACAACGTTCAGATTCGTGACATTTTAATACCTTTTATTAAAATGCTCATCACGTATTTTTCCAATATTAAGCAGCTTCTTACTTTTTTTGAAAAGGAAGAAAATGAATAACAGATTGTTACAGTAGAGAACAGTCAAAATCGATAGTTTGTGGGTCAGTCACCACTTAACGAATTTCCTTACTCATACAATTTAGGTTTGCTGTACCGTATGTAATCTAATATTATATTCTTAAACGCATTGAATAATATGCATTAGAAAAAACTTGAAATTATGTCAATTATAATACCGCGAAGTCGTTATTACGGTCCATTATCTCCAATGATGTATAATTTGCCTGGTCCGGTAGTAAATGGGAACAGTTAATGTAACCCACTATTACGTTTACCTACTGATGTTGCAATAACTATTAAGTGTGTTGAGAAGTTGTTTATCAGAGTAATCAGACAATTACAAAGAAAAAGAGAAAACCTTGGATATCTCATGTATCTACACATTTAAAATTTTAGTGGAAAATTAGTAGTCAACTAGTAAATAGTTTCTAGTGTTAACCTGCTTGTATGGCCTCCGAGGCTCTGGACATAGCGTGAGATTGTCTCTTGGTAAAAAACTAATATAAAAAAATAAGATTTACCAAAAAAGGCAAAAAAGAAATTAGTTTCTGAAATGTGAAATGGTAAATTTTGATGGAAAATAAGGAGATAAAAGAAATTAATAAAAGAAAAGTGGAAAGCCCGGACTTAAAAAAAGCTAAATAGACATAATGCAGAAAGATAAAGGAGAAATTCAAAGTATAAGTGAGCTACTGGAATATTTAAAAAGGAAAGAAGAGAGTGAATTAAAGGAGAAAGAAAGGAAAGAAATGGAAAGGTATGAAAAACTAATAAATACGATGGAGAAAATAAAGGATAAATGTATAGAGCTGTAAGGTATTGTTAAAAATGGAAAGAAACAACTGGAAATGGTGCTAGAGGAGCTGAAGATAGGAAAACATGTGGAGGAGCAAGTAGAGGAACAAATTAAAAGAATAAGAAGATAAAGATAAGAAATGAAGAAAAAACAAGACCTGATGACGTCATGGGATGGTGTTGGAAGAAGACAAAGAGAAGAGAGAGTTGGAAAGATCTATAAATGAGAAGATGAGGCTGAACGTGGAAATAAGGAAAGTTAAAAAGAAAGTAAATATATAACGCAAAAATGGAAAAGTAGGAAGAGAAGCTATACATGGTTAAAAATAGTAAAAGTCTGGGCGGACAAATGGGTATATAAAAGATGACATGATTGTGGAAAAGGAAAGTATACAAAAGGGGCTGGAACAAATGCTACAAAAGAAGAAGAAAAAAAAAGATAGATAAAACCGTAAAACTTGGGTAGAAGGTGATAATAATAAACGAGAATGTATGGATATGGGGCGAGGAAATGGAAAAAATGGTAAAAAAGTAAAGAAGCAGACATATCGGAAGGAATCAGAGGGAGGAAGCGAGGCAGTAACAGAGGTACAATGAGGAAGAGGTAATAGAAATAGAGGACAGGATGATGGAATCCCAAGGGAAACTTAGATGTACACGGCAGATGTAGAAGAAGACACAAAATAGAAAATGTAAATAGCCTTAGCAGATTAAATAATGCATATATATATATACACTTGCTAAAACAAAAGAAAAAAGAAACGCCGCATAATAAAACTATCACTTCCTTCATGCCATTGTCATTCTACAAACAATATCACTCTACAAATTACCTAAACGCACCAAGATTACTTGAATGCCTTTAATATTGTCAAATTTCCCTTTTCTTTGTCCTTATGTTACAGCGATCGCTAACAAAGAGAAGATTTTTTATTCGATAGATGCATCATAATACAGGTCGTGTTTTACAAATTATTGGGTGTGAAGAAAAGTAGTAGGCTGCGACGTGAAAGTAAACTTGAAATTATAATTTTTACTGAATTTATGCTAAAAGCGCTGGTAAAAAAAAAAACACAAAAGGCCTTTGTAATTTTATGAATAGTTGCATAGTGGTAAAGTTGAAATTGTGAAGCGTGTAATTTCTGCTTGGATTCGTGAGAAATAGGTTTACGATATTTTTTTATCACAGTATCTGTATGGCACTTAAATGTGCCGTTAATAATAAATGACCTACGCTGTTAAAGGTTATGTATGTGACCTTTGTATTTTCGTTGAAATAGCTTAAATAGTTAGATGTGGCTCTATGAAAAGAGTAAAATAAGCTATGAATAATGCTGCAGAATAATAACAGATTTAGTTCAGTATGGTTATTTAATTTTTATTTATAATTACAATAATTACACGATAATTTTACTTCAACAATAATAATTTTTTTATATCCTTCGGTTCAATTCTGATGTTACGTTTGTTAAGAATGGTAATAATTGTCATACTCCAATGATAATGGACCATAAAAAGTAGACTGAATACATCACAACATTAAAAAAAGCGGACAGACACACACACGAGTGATCCTATAAGGGTTCCGTTTTTCATTTAGACGTACGGAACCCTAACCCAAGAACCAACTTGACATTGTATGTAGTTGAAGAAAAAAAAGATTTTCTCCCATACATTCAAACTGCAATTTTAAAATCTAAAAACTTTCTGGGCAATACAATAAAAATTGATTACACACTCAATATGTGACAACTTTTTAAAACAAAAGCAAACTGAATTCTCTACCAAAATGTTTATCACTACATAGTATAAAACAAAGTCGGTTCCCGTTGTCTGTCCCTATGTATGCTTAGATCTTCAAAAATACGCAACGGATTTTAATGCCTTTTTTTTTAATAGATAGAGTAATTCAAGAGGAAGGTTTATATGTATAATACATGCATAATATGGTAGAGAAACACTGATAATTTTAGAGGTTTGTAATGAGATGAGGTAAATAAACACATTTTTTTTGCGCTTACATTGCAAACGCTGGCTGAACCCTACGAGATAGATCAAAATAATGTACTACAGTATTGTACAA